TTCTACTAAGACTAGAAGCATTCTTGGAATGACTTGTGGGTAATAAAATAATAGACTATTTTATTTATAAATTCAATTAAATAAATATTTAAATAAGCTCTCAAGTGATAGTTTAAAAAGACAATCTCGGGCCCTTGTTGTAAGAATATTTTTAGGAAGCCACACATATGATAAAATAGCAGAATTAGTTGATGAAATCCATTGGAATTGGTGAAAAAGTTATAGCAACTTTTACAGATAACGGCTCTAACTTCAAGAAAGCTTTCAAGGAGTTTGGATATTCCATGGTAGGTGTGGAGAATATTTTTGACATCAATGAAGAAGAATGTATAGAATTCGAAATCATTGAAAGTATTATTTAATACTTCTTTTATAGTAAAATTTATTATGATATCGTAAATTTAGTAAAAATTTTTATTCAAATAAAATTATTGATTTGTTTAAATTTAAGGGTCTAAAGAAGCCTCAATAACATTCATCTGTACATTCGATAAGTCTGGGACACATTTGTATTTTTTTTTTAAAAATAAATAAATTTCTTAAAATAAGGTTCATTGATAACTTCATAGGATGATCGGGAGACAATTCCTAAATAAAGTTCGCGTCGAGAAAGCTATTAAGGATTCTCCTAACATTTCTAAAATTCATCATCCCGCAATAGCCAAATGTACTAAGCTATGGAATGCTAGTAATAAGTCCAAAAACTGCAGAACTTATCAAAGCAATTTTAGGAAAACAATTAGTTACACCTTGCTGTACAAGATGGAATAGTATGTTTGATAGCCATTGTAGTTTATTAAAATTTATAGGCGAACTTCCTAAATTATGTCAAAAATTAGAATTTCCAAAATTAAGAGATATTTAAAATTAATATTTAAAAGAATATTGCAATATAATGTCCCCATTGGCTATAGCGATTGACAAAATACAAAGTGAAATCAACTGCTATTATGGAGAATCAGCTCCAATATTAAATGTCGTAAAAAAATTACAAATTTAATTCAAACTGTTTGCAAACCATAAGCTATTGCAGTTGAAAATTCTTTAAATAAAAGTAAAAATGTATATGAATTTGATAATAACTTTAAAAGCGCATTTTTGACAACTATTTCTCATCCCTATTTTAAAAATCGTTGGATTGATGGTGAAAAGGAAAAAAAATACCTTCAGGATTTGTTAATACATGAAGCTTTAATTATTTTTAAAAATAATATTGAAATTAATACGTCAACAAAATCTTCAATTGATGAAGATGATAATTACTTTTGTTCTAAAAGTACCACATCCAATTCTAATAATTCAATAAATGATATTGAATTAGAGGTCCTAAATTATATGAAAGATGACAGGCGCAGTATAAATATGTTAAATAGTTATAAATATATAATAAAAATATTTAAAATATAATACAATATAACACAATATTACCCTCCTCTGCTCCCGTTGAACGATTATTTAGCTTTGCTAATATGGTTAATAGACCAAATCGTCAAAGATTGAACGATAGATTATTTGAAAAATTAATAATATTAAAAAATAATGCTGATTTATTATAATTTACTAATTATACAATTATTAAAAAAATATCGCATTATCTTGTATAATAAATTTGTTATTTTCTACAATTTATTTTAAATTTTTTATAAATTTATATTATAGATAAGAAAATAAAGCTTTATACATTTTGATTTTGACTATAAAAAAGAAAGTATCTTGTATCTTATATTTTATTGAAATTTTTCTAAAGTATCTAGTATCTTGTATCGTAAATATAAAATTTTATAAAATTGTATCCGAATACAATTTTCTGAAAATTTGCCCAACCTGATGCCTGGATGGGCAAGGCTGTAAAAAAAATTTTTTTGAATAAACCCGGACCAAGACTAAAAATTGTTTTACTAAAGCTGGGCTGAGCCTAAAAAATTTTTTAAATATCCAGGCCAAGCCAAATATTTTAAATCGTGACCATTATATAAATTTAAAAGTTGTTGTATCATAAAGTAATGTTTGACATACATCCACTTCTCATATTTCCTATTTTCATTTCGATCGTTAGAAAATACTTAATAAGTTTATAAAATAAAGATAAAATATTTTAGAAATTATTCAACTAATTATAAATTTTATATTTACACCTAGATATTTCACAACTTTTTCTGATATAAAATTAAAAATAATCTTCATCTATCATTTTAAAATAAAGAAGATAGTTTTAAAAGTTATTAGATAAATATTAATATTTCATATAAAAGTGAACCATAAAATGCCAATTCTAAAATCCAAACCAAAAATTTTTTAGAAACATTGGCCATTTATTTATAAACCATGGTTGTAAAAAAAATTTTTACATCTGGACTGGGCCATAAAAAAATAAAATAAGCCCGGGCCAGGCCTAAAATTTATTTAAATATTGGGGCCAAGCCTGAAAATATAAAACCCAGACCATTGGCCATAATTTTTAGGGCTGTGCCGATATTAAATATTGGATCGGCACCGATATCTAGCGTTTTCAAAATCGGATCAGGCCTACATTTTTTAAAAACCGATCCTATATATTTTTTTGTTTCTATGAAAAAACTAATATAAATTATAAGTTCAAAAATCCATGACAAAATTATACTAAATTCATAAGGTAGGTATTCCAAACATGATGGAATACATTTCCGGTAAATCAGATTTTTAAAATTTAAAAAACGCGCTCAAAAATAATTTAAAGTTGAAAAAATAACATGTTGCTGGAAAACATTGCCATTAACATATATAATCATATTTTTTTTATTTTATAAATAATTTTATAATATGGAACTAAAATACAATTTATCTGTTGTAATGTTTACAAAAAAAAGTTTCAAATTTAACACTATTTTTTGTTATATTATCTGCAACAAGAAGAAGATTTCAAAATATCTAACGAGTCACATTCAGCTAGTGTTGCTAAACAACTCGATTTATCAAATTTTAAAAAAATGTTGACTATGATTTTGACCAAAATTAATTACTCAAGCTTATTGATTTAGCCCATTGATAGAAAAGTTTCGATTTCTATTGCCGAAAATTTGAGGCTTAGGTAATAATATTTTGACTAAAATTTTGAATTAGCCCTTTTTAAAAATTGGTGAAATGAAGTTTGACAACATTACATTAAACCATAAACATTGCAAATATTTTAAATGAGATTAGATTGGAGAATAAAAAAAAATAAATCACACTTTCATTTGTGAAAGTTAGTTGGTTTTTTTTAAAATAAAAAATATTGATATATTTATGGTATTGATACAAAAATTGATGGTAAATAAAAATCAATATAAATATCAGATTTGATTGGTGAAAAATTTGTGGATAAGCATAGCCCTATTTTATAACAATCTGGTCTGGGCTATATTGTTCAAATGGTATCTCTGTAGGACACTGATAGATATATACATTAAAAATGCCTGCTCTAAAATTTTGTCTAAAAAAATGTAATAATCTAAGCTAGGTCTAATTTTTTGTAAAAATTTTATGTACTAGGCCTAGATGGGCAGGATATATTCTAAATAGCTAAAAATTGGGAATCTTGCTTATATCTTATAGAAAAATTTTAAAGTAAATTTGAAATTAATATTTCTAGATGCTAGGGAAGAAAACACTTATATTTAGATTGAATTTTTTTTAAACCGCTAAAAATTGAATAAATATTCTCGATATTTCCAATTCCCAAATTGTTAATTAAATTGGGAGCAATAATAATATTTCCTCTATTTTTAGTAAATTTTTTAAAAACTCAACTTAAATATAAGTGTTTATTTAGGGTTTGGCAACATTTAAGTAACAGGCTGGTCAATTTGCAAAAACTTAACAGGCTAAAACAAGTCAGGCTTTACAGATCATTTATATAGATTGTTTAAAATAATATCAATGAAACTTCTTTTGTGATTCAAAGTTTATCTAAAAAAATTTTAATTACTATTAAGCAAACCAGATTCTATTTAAAATTTCTAGGAACTTGAACATCAATCAAATTTTGAAATATATTCCAAACAAAAACTCCATAATCTAGGTTACATGTTTTATTTATACTGACTAAATATTAATTTTATAGATAAAAAAATATTGTTATGTCATGACCATTTGGTAAAAAAATTTGTTAGTTTTAATTATTTGTGTTTTATTAATAATTTCTCCAGAACTCATATTAGAGGTACTGTAAAATTGAAAGTTTGAACACCATTGGCATGAAGATTGAAACAAAAATGTTGATAACAAGTAGACAAAATTTTATATTAAAATTAAATACCCTTTAACAATAATTTCTATCATAATTTATGTTTTCCTTTATTCAGCTTCATTAAATATATAGTAATAAATTGTAAAGTAAAAATATAGTTAACATTACAAAAAGATTATAGTAAAAAAAATATAAAAAATTAAAGTTAAAAATAAAAAATTATAAGAAAAATAAAAAAAATTAAAAGTAAAAAATAAATGAAAAAATTAGTCACTAAAAAATTGTTAAACCATTAAAGTATAAAATCTATGCCATTATCTTACAGTTTCATCTAATTTACATAACAAAATTATTTATCTAACAAAATATACTGTCTGTGCATAACCAATCTTCATAATTCAGAAAGTAAACAGGGTGGGCCACCTTGGCACAAAATCAAAATATTTAAATATAGACCCCAATCAGATCCAAAATATATAATTTTTTATTAAAAATCAGTCATAGCCATATTTAAAGACCTCTAACTCAAATAACCTTATTTAAATTCCAATATTTTTATAAAATATTTTATTTTAAATTACATCAAAAATGCATGTATATCAATTATAATAAAATATGGATTTAACATTTCACAAGGAATATAAGTTAACAATTTAGGAAAATGTCAAATTGGAATTTTATTATATATAATATTTACTTTCTTTTCAAAATTTTTAAATATTACTGTTTAAGTTTTAAAAAAATTGGATATATTATTTTTTTTATCTTATGAATAATAGTCATAATTTTTTACCAATTTCATTTCTGCATGAAGCATCATACATTTTTCTTCTATAAATAACTTCAAATTATCCAAAAATTCTTTTGAGTGTCTTTTATGAAGATGTATAACCTGAGACAAAATTAAAAAAGGAGTTTAAAATAAAATTACTCTAGAAATAAAATTAATGGCATTTACAAAATCTTTATTATATTGGGATGGATTGAGATTATAGAGAGAGAAGAGCGATAGATAGTGTAAATATTCTTGATCAAACTAAAAAAAACAGTTATATTTTATTAAAAATAAATACTTCTTCTTCATAGAGTAAAGGGCTTTTTTTAATTAAATACTGTAATTGTTTCATTTGATTATCTATAGTTTTTATTCTCATTGTTACACAACTCTATCCCTGTGTAGAATAAAAAATGATGTAGAGCAGTCAGTTATGACACAATGTCAAATTGGGAAACGACAGATATTACATATAACCTGTCATGTCGCCATTATTTTTTATGGTAAATTTTGATTCAATTTATGTCAAACAATGTAGATAAATTTAAAACTCCATGGTTATATCAGTTGAAAATGGATGATATTAAATAGTTTTAAATAATTTTCCTTAATATCCAAAATATATATGAAATAAACAACATGAATAAAAACATAACCCACAAGATTCAGGTTAATTTTTGTTTCATTAATCTTTTTATTTTATAGACTCTCTCATCAATTTTCACACATTACTACAACTCACACATTAATGAAACTTGTTCTCTACAAAATTTTTAACTTATTTAATAATCCTTATTATACTCAAAATCTCATTACATATATCACAAATTTCTATATATATATATATATATCAAATTACATAAACCAAATTGAAGATAATCAAGTATATTCAAATATTTATATATTCTTATCCTAATCTATTTCTAATCTCCAATTCTTATATATAACTTTTCTTTATTTCCCCTCTCCCAAAGATCTCACCCATTTATCAATTAATTTTTTCCTTCTTATTCTTTTACCTATTAACAAAAATTCCTTCATAACATTATAAATTTATTTAATTTTTTTATAATTAAATTTTATTTTTTACATAATTTTTTTAGTCTATTATTTTATCTATCATACAACTGATTAACTTTATTTTTTTCAATAACACTACACTCAACATGTTATCTTCTAACTTTAAATTAAATCGTCTGATTTTTTCCTCCTTATTTCTAAATAAAATCAAATTGTCTGTTTTCATTTTTAATTTATCTAATAAAAACCAAAACTTAATTTTTTACAATTATCTTATTCTTAAAATTATGTCTTTAAATAGAAAATTAATTATTTACTCTTATAATATACCTGGTTACTAAATAAAATTACAATATTAAAAAAATTAATGGAAGAAAAAGATATATTTATATTGACACAACTTTAATAACTAATAATTAAATTAAAAAATTAAGAGGCTATACAATCTTCAATTCTAATTTTTCTAACTATCATAATGGTGTATCATTTATTATTAAAGATTCTATTCTAAAATATACATCCAATTTCACTCCAATCAGTGATCGCATTGTTTCAATTACACTTAAAACTAAAGGAAAAATTACACATCTTATTAATATTTACTCCGGTCAATAATTCAGAATATCCTAATTTCATTAATTCTCTAAACAGCCACCTTAAAGAAATAAATACCAATCATTTTATTAAGTGGCGACTTTAATATGAAAATAGATAACGTATATAAATAATACTATAGGTTTTGCTGCACTAGATCAAAAAACTAATCAAAATGGTAAAAATATTATTGAAACCTGTAAAAAATTCAACCTTAGAATTATTAATACTTTTTTTAAACAAAAAAACAATATTTATTTTACTTATTTCAAACCCAATTTATTATACGAAAGTCAACTTGATTTTTTTCTCACTAGTATTAAAATGAATTTTTTTATTCAAAATATTACAATTCTCAATGAGATATATTTTTTATCAGACCATCGTCCTATTGGTCTACAACTTTTCATTAAACCCATATTATTAAGAAATCTTAATATTGCCAATTCAAAAAAATCTACACCTTCCACACCAAAAAGAAAAATACAATATCAATAATTTAAATATCCAAACATTAGCTAATAAATATCATTCAAGTCTCAAATCAATCAATAATAACAATTCATGGAACAATATTTAAAATTCCATTATCAATTCTGCAAATCTTCGCTTAAATATTAAAACCATTTATCCTGATTGGCCAAGTCCTCATACTTCCAACCGAATCAACTCTCTACCCAATAAAAACATTAAAAAAACAAACTAGAAAAAAAGAACACATTAAAACCAAACTTAAAATTATTAAAAAATCAATAAGAAGAGATAAAAGAAATTTTCTTAAAAATAGAATAATGCATTTAAAACATTAAAATTCATCACTTCTTCCAATGATAAAAAAATAATAACTTGAAAATTGGTAAAATCATTATAAAAAAATCCTTTAGATCACTTAATAACAAATTTCCTTGCCCCTATTCCTTATCTTCATCTCAACTTATTACTACTCCCCAAAAATGAATCTAAAAAAACATAATGATAATATTCATAATGAAATATTAAAAATATTTCCAAATACTATCACCGATATTATCTTTCTTACTTTAAATACTATATGGAATACAACAATCCTACTTACCAATTGGTGTAAATCCACCATCATCAACCTACCTAAATTCCCAAATCCTTCCTCTATCCATGATTACAGAGGTATAACTCTTTCTTCCCCTTTTTACAAGATTTTTACTAAATTTATCTACAATCTTATCTCTAAAGACATTAACAAAAATATTCATAATTCTATAGCATCCTTCAGACCAGGACGAAACACTATTGAATTAATTACTTCACTTAAAATAAGATTAGAGAAAGCACAAATTTATAAAACCGACACATACATTATTTTTATCGTATTTCTAAAGTATTCGAATTCGATTCCATAAAGCATCAATATCTTTGGAATATCTTCTTTAAATATAATATTAATATTCATACTATTAAAATTATAATGTATATTTATGAAAACAGTTTTATAAATATTAAACATAATAACCTATCTTCACCTTACTTCAAAATCAAATGCGGCATCAAACAAGGATGCCCCCTCTCTCCTTCCTTTTTTAATTTATTAATTAGTGACCTCATTTATTCTTGCAATTTTCACAACGTTGATTGGCTTTGTTACGCAGACGATATATGTATTATTACCGAAGACTTTAATTATATAAATAATATTTTTACAAAAATATCTTTAGTTCTCCTTAAAATGAATCTTAAAATTAACTTTAATAAAACTAAAATACTTTCAACTTCCCCCTTAAATCTTAATCTTAAATTTAATAACAATAATATTATTTTCACTAAATCCTTTAATTATTATTGATTATAAAGGCTCTAAACCTAACATATCTTCTAAACTCACTAAAGCCAAATCAAAATTTTTTTCTCTTAATAAATTATGGCATACTAATATTTTATCAAATAAATTTAAAATTCAAATTTTTAATACATATATTATTTCTTCATTAACCTATGGTATAGAAACTTGGGACTTTACCAACTCTAATTTAAATAAAACCCAAGTTTTTATTAATAAATCTTTAAAAAATATTTTAAACATCAAATACCCTTATATCATTTCTAATTTTAATCTTTGGAATTCCAGCAACATTCTCCCCCTTCACAGACTCCTTACCTAGAGAGAACTGGAACTTATGTGTCATTCATTAAGACATTCATACCACAGCACTATAACAGATGCCCTAAAACATATACCTTCAAACTAAAAAAAACAAAAAACATTTACTCATATCAAAAATCTTGGTACGGTCATGCCATCAATATTCTTAATATCAACAAAGTCAATGGCCTATTCCTTATAAATATTTCTCAAAATAAATCTCATTTAAAATCTTGGCTTAATCAAGCAATCCTCGATTAATCATTTTCATCAAACCAATTTAATAATATTAATTACTAATTTATATATACTAGTAGAAAGCCCGTCAAAAATGACAGGAAATGAGATTTTTATTCCTTTTTTACGATAGATGTCATGCCAGATTTAAGCTCACAATATTAGGAAGCATCCAAGATTTTATAATTTTAAAAAAGTTTATCAAACCCCAACCCTTAATAATTTGTAAAAGATATTCCCAAGTCAGGTGCAAGGTAATATTAATTTTGAGGTTCCAAGCCCAGTCCTACCCATTATAATTTAGAAAATTTTTTCCCGCCTCGGAGATAGTTAAATTTTTAATTGATTTATCATCACACGAAGGGGAAATATCTGATTTACCAATTAGTCTAATATTCAAAAAATACATATTCCGTATTAAGGGAAACTGGGAAGCCCTGGGCAAACCATTTATTAGAGAATCATGACAAATAAAATAAAAATAACCGACTCTTATACTTTTTTGTAATATGATCAATTAAAATTATATCTAAAAAATATATTGTTGTTTATTATATAGGGTTATTGTTGTTTTTCAGATAAATTTAATGTATGTTTTGCATTTGCGAAATTATTTGTCAAAGAATTTGATAAAGGATATATATTTTTATGTTAAGTAAAAAAAAAATGCTAACTATTTAAATTACAAAGATGACATTAAACACTAATGAAACTTATATGCAAATTATTTATATATATTTTTTAATATATTTTTTTTTATTGACATATAAATTTAGGATAATTTTTTAAAAAAATAATGAGGATTAATTATTATGTATTTGATAAAATTAAGAGCAAATCCTTGTTGACATTTTAATTTTTGATGGAAAAAGCGACAAAATAAATCTGGGCGGTCGTCTGGAGAGGAAATAATTAATGTGTAATTTTATATCATTTAGGGTTATAGATGAAAGTAATGACGGATTAACAAAGCTGTGTACAAAACACATTACGTCCTGATAAAGATGATATGTCTATGCCTTGGGATACTGGTAAAAGAAGAACGCAAAACGATATTTCTGTCAATGTAAGCATTGGTATCCCCCTCTAAAATAGAATCATGAACAACAATGTTAACTCAACAATAAAACTAAGTATTGTTATAAAGGCCACGACAGAACTACTGCATATTTTTCCATTAATATTGATGAAATTGGCCGTACTGTACATTCAAGTTTAAACATTCCTCTAAATATTCATGAAAGTTTTTCAGAGAATTGGATAAAGTAATATTTATATTAACTCCTAGTGAAGTGAATGTTAGTACGGAATTAAATGCTTATATTTGTTAAAAAATAGGCGGAGGTGGCATAGGGATTGTGGTAGTGGTGATAGAAATATCATTTGGAGACCTGGGTAAAAATAAAATAAACATAGATA